AGCAGCAGTAGTAGTAGAAGTAGAAGTAGCAGCAGTCGCAGCAGCAGTAGCAGTAGTCGTCGTTGTCGTGTTGGCGGTGGTGGCAGCGGCGGTGAAGGCGGTAGCAGGAGTAGTCTGAGTGGTTTCAGTCGCAGTCGTCGTCGTAAGCAGCAAAAAGAAACGACGCTGCGTGATGTGTATTGTTTGCCCTGATCGTGATGGTCGTTCTGACGGTGATGTGGATGCAGATCTAGTGTTGGCAACCGCAGAATCAGCAATTACACAATGGCCTGAACAATGACACGAAACCGCTAGTAAACACGAGATTCAGAGCAGTACGTGATTAAGTTCAGCGAACAGCTTGAGACATCGGCCGACAAATCACAAGCAGCAACATCAACAAACCAACATGCACTACCTCGACAGGTGAACTCCAGACAAGAAGATGGCCTGTGGTACTCTCAACAAGACAAAGTCAGCATGATTCAAACTAGATGTCCGTCCTCAATCTAACGCCATCTTTGCTAAATTGAGTCAGCAGCCTAGCCTCGCTAGGCCGCAATCATGCACCGGAGTAGGCCTACGACTTACGACCCATGGCGATCGAGGATTGGAAACATGCGGCGAGTTTTCTAAATTAGGGTCCCTTTTGGGGTACTTTTTATAAGGGTGCCGTACTATATTGGGGATCCAAAAGGGGACCCTAATTTAGAGAACTACCCATGTGATTCCAAGTACAGGTTGCACGCATGAACAACCCTGCGATTGAAGTGGTTATCAGCTTTGGCACCAAAACGCAATCTGGTGGTGTAGCTTCAGTCTTTTTATGGTGGTCGGTAATATTCTCATGAATGTGCATGTTGTCAGCTTTACGAGTGCAGCGGCATTATGTGGCAGCCTGTCGAGAATTTGGGTTTGTCATGGTGCACACACTATATCTATATCTATATCTATATCTGTACCTATATCTATATCTGTATATATATATATATAGATATGCACACATCCATCGACACATACATGCACATGTGTACACATGTATATTTACATCCTCCAGGCACTCAAAAAACCCTTCATGTAAACTCTTATGGCCCTGTCCCTAAACCCTACACCCCTTAAGCCTTAAACCCTGAAGCCCTAAACCCCGGTCCACCATAGACTTCAGGACGAGGGTGAGCTCATAGTCTGATGTGTTGTCACTCAGCAGCTGCACAGCCGGGGTCACCTCGGTCCATAAGGGCCTCCTATAAAACTACCCTAAACCCTAAACCCTAAACCATTCCTTTCAAGGGATCTATACGGCCTCTGTAGGGTTCCTTTAAAGGGATCTCTAAAAGGCCCTTGAGGGTTCCTGTAAGGGGATCTACACTGGTTCTTAAGGGCTTCGGGGGTTTAAGGGATTCGGGCTTACAGCTTAGAGTTCAGGGCTGAGGAGCCTCTGGAAGCTATTGAGGGGCTTCAGAGTCAGGGTTTGGGGTTTTAGGGTTTAGGGTTTAGGGTTTAGGGTTTAGGGTTTAGGGTTTGGGGCTTTAGGGTTTAGGGTTTACTCATGTGCAGGGATTGAATCTGCGGGTCATTGTGGTCTGCTTGTAGAGCTTGCAGTGCCATGATATTGCAAGTGCTTTCTTTTTCAACCTCCAGCGGTTAGTGGAAACATGCAGAGTTTGCTTCTGCAAGAAGACCTCGTGGCATCAGACCGGGTATAGGCGACCTTAAGCCGAAAACTGCATTCTTCGGCCTGGGGGCACAGAAAGAAGCGCTATACACGGCATTGCCATCTCCGAAGAACAGCCTGTTGACAAGCTGATTCGTTATGACCTTGAAGGAGAGAGGTTGCCTTAGTTGCTGAGGTCAAAAAAGTGGACACTTTCATTTTTTTTAATGAATCGTCTTTAACCCAGAAGACCTTAGGGTTTAGGGTTTAGGGTTTAGGGTACCTAAGGTGTAGTGTAAAGTGTACTCATTCAGCCACCAAGTGTCACAGCAGGGAAGGTGAGCCGTTCTTTGGCTGCCTTCCACCCTTCTTTTCCCCTCCTTACTTCCCATTGGTTAAGTGCTCCAGGAAGTAGGTCGGGTTTAGGGGTTAGGCTTTAGGGTTGATAATGATGCCAACGCATCAGGCCCCACAGCTCAAACTTCTGGTACTCGAGATCTAAGTATCGTTTCGAACTCGTTCTTCTCTTTCCTCCTGTCCAGATAAATTTCGCGAGCCCTGCAGCCGGGGTCGTAGCCCAGCCGGTGAAAGTCCTTGCCAAACAGCACAAAACCCCCTAAACCTCAAACCTCTTAAGCTCGAAATCCTAAATGACGACAGCCTGCTCGTAGGGTAGCTTACCAGTCAGGTCTCGTGGTGCTAGGGCACTTCAACTGTACGAGTAGCTACGAAAGCGGATATGTAAGGACTGTTTCATGTTATTCTTCAGATTCCCATCCTGCAGCAACTCGGGCGCTAGCAACAAGGCCCACACGCCCTGAAAACCCTAAACCCTAAACCCTAAAGCCCTAAACTCCCGTCCTGTCCCATCTGTCTCTTCCATCCATTTTTGTCCAGTTTGTCGACCGCGGGTCCTGCTGAGTTGAGGCTCTTCATTCGGCTAAACCCTAAACCCTAAAAACCCTATAAACCCGAGAAGCCCTAAACCCCATAAACCCTAAACCCTAAAAGCCAAAACACCCAAGAAAAAATAAACCACCAAAAACCCAACTCGTCGGAGCTACAGATGTGCGGAAATTGGAGTGGCAGGTCAGGGTGCGGGGATGAGGGTTCAAGATTTAGGGGCTTCAGGGGATTTAGGGTACAGGGCTAAGCCTCTGGAGCTTAGCAGTTTAATTGGGGCTTTGTCCTCCCTGCTACAAAACTCAAGGTCTCGACCTCAAACTTAGTCCTTCGTTGGGGGTTCTTGTGGCGAGTAAACAACATGACAGAAGGAACCCACAGAGACTACAAAGGGGTACTAGTACTACCTGATCAGACATCTAGACACTCCGCTCAAAATACCCTGTAAGCCCAAAAAACTACCACGTAGGGTTTGTATCTCAGCAGCGCCGAAAAGCAGTGGTAGACCCGAATTCAAGCCAGCAGCCTGAGTAGTCCATGAGATGCTCGAGGCGTTCCCGGACGCTGGGCCATTCCAATTCCAGGCTCAAGCTCAGTATGAATCGGTGCCTTGCATTGCTTTATTAACCCTCTTTGGGTAGTTCTCGAAGTTAGGGTCCCTTCTAGGGTCCTTTTTATGAGGGTGCCGTACTACATTCGGGACCTAAAAAGGGACACTCGTTAGAGAACTGCCCATACCGTAGCAGCCCATTCTAAGCCTCTAAAGTAGCCCTGGCATGCTCGACTTGTAGATTATCTACCGGCAAGAGAACGGAGCTTGGGTTCTTTCGCCTCGGTCCTTTTTATTGAAGCGGGGTTCCTATCCGGACTTCCTCTGGGTATGGTGGGGGGGGGGTCCCTCTGTGTGAACCCGAAAATGAGCCCCAAGGTTTTGCGGTGCGCTTCCCTCCTCCGATAGGTTTCTGTGCCCCACCACTCCACCCCCTTCACCCCCCACCTCCACCCCGCCCCCCCCCCTCCACCTTGCTTCCGCTTTTGCGCGGCTCTGCTGGTTTGTACGCAGTCTCCTCCCCTTCCCCGGTCCTCGTCCGCTCTGCCAACGGCGCCTTCAAGGCACCAGCAGTTCGTTGGCCCTCTTTGTTTGCGGCCGGGCCGAGGCGGACGACGCGAAGCGTTTAAAATTATAGTACCAGTACAAGAACGACCGTAGAATACGTATTCACGCACCTAAATCATGCAAAGTCATATATATATATATATTATATTTTTATATATATATATACACTATACACCTTCCCGGAGCCCTAAATCCGGTTCATGGGGAAGAGGAAGAAAAGGCTTCGGGCAGCGTAGGGTTCAAGCGTTGAAGGGTCGAAGTTTGGGGGCCTTCATAAGTCAGATGGGGTTTGGGGTATAGTACAAATATGATTAGGCACCCCACAAAAAATATGAGTAACTTTTCAGGCCCCTGTATTAAGCTTGACGTCGGGTTGCAAATTGGAGTCCATCTTCTCTTTCCCTGCTTCCACGCTGAGCACCGTGGTAGTCCTGTACTGAGCTTCGAAGGCTGAGGGCTTAGGGTTTAAGGGTTTAGGGTTACCTTAAGAACCCAAAACCTACTTTTTTGTAGGGTCCCTATAAATCCCATATTAGGGTTTATAATAAGAACCTACATAAAGTGGGTTTTGGGTTCTTAAGGTAGGGTTGCTGTCTCTTGGGGATTACAGTAACCAAAGACCCAAAAGATAGTAGCCAGACATGAATAGTATAGCAACCAAGCAGCAAAAAACACAGTAACCAAAAACCAAAAAGGGCTTCCAAGTACCGCTGGGAATCTCCACAAACTTCATGGGACTCATCTGGTTCAGCTCCCGCACCTGCACAGGTAACATATAATAATGTACTACAACCTGCGACAATACTGTTGATGGACAAAATTCTGCATGACCCAAATATAGTATAGTACCATAAATCCCATAGTTTAGGTAAATATGGTCATGCAGGATTTTGTCCATCAGCCGTATGACATACCATAATATACAGCAGTGCAACACACTGGAATAAACCAGTGTCACCTCGTGATTAAGAAACCCCCTCAATAGAGCTAAACTCGGCCCTGCACACAATAGTGGAAAGCCCCTCAATAGAGCTAAACTCGGTCTCAACGTAAGAATAAACTCCCCCTCAATAGTCGTAAGTTCCCGTCCCGCCTGTTTTCGTTTTTAGTTTCAGGGAAATAGACACTGCTACTACAAACTGACGCCCTGGAAGAGGAGAGACAGAGACACTCTGGTTTTCAACGGCTGCCAGATCCATAGGCTTCTAATATAAACCCCTAAAAAAGTCATATTCCATCAAGTTTTCTACGGGGTACTATACGATAGCCTCTGACCCCACAATAGTCCGGATGAAAGGCCCCCTCAATAGTGCTGACCCTAAACCCTAAACCCTAAACCTCAATAGTGCTGCGGCCTGCCGGGGGCTCAAGGCGGGCATGGTTGCAGAGTAGAAGCAAGAGACACACCAAGGAGGCCCAAGGAAGAAGAGGCCCAGCCCAAGGAATGGTTTAGGGTTGAGGGTTTAGGGTTTAGGGTTTAAGGTCTAGGGTTTAGGTTTAAGGTTTAGGGGTTTAGGGTTTAGGGTTTAGGGTTTCGGGAGCCCAGAAGAGACCCAACCCAAGGAACAAGAGCTACAGAAGAGTTCCAGCCCAAGGAAGAAAGGCCACTACTACTCTACAACTAAATGTACTACTACTGTGCCACCACTGTACTAGTACTGTATTACTACTTTACTAATACTGTACTAATTGCTCTACTACTACTGTACTACTACTGTGCTACTGTAATACGACTATATTACGACTGTACTACTGCACTACTACTGTAATACTAGCTACTATACTACTGTACCAATACTGAGCGCCCCGGCCCCCAAACAACTTAGACCCCAGCCCGCCAAAACAAGTAAGATGATCAGGGCAAAAAGCCCGCGGCTATTCCGGATTTCAAGCTCTTCGGGAGGGGGGGTTTATTAATCCGGAGGTGACATTATACTACAGACTATAGTGTACTATGATCTGGTACAGTATAACATAGTATAACTGGAGCTCGGAACCTGGAAGCAGAAACCTTCGCCGAACCCCCGGTCCTAAGGCTGCGAAGACGATAATGATGCAAGACGTCTTTCGTTGCTGAATATGTTAGTATCTTCTACTACAGCATTATGCTATGGTTTGCATGTTTTCTTTGTGTTTGTAATGTGTTTCATAGCATATATGGTATGTTTTTTGATTGTGTTTTTAGAGCAGTACAGTACAGTTTAGTCTGCTCTCGTATGTTATCGTACCGTATAGTAGATCATACTAAAGTCCATGTTAGCATTGCTTGTGGACTGCAATGCTTGGGCATTGCCTGACTGAAGGCTCTTTCGGGTTCGGGACCATGGGAAGAATGAGCCTGACTTCCAATGACTCCTCCGGGCCTTGTAGCTCCTCTCAAGGAGACCCCTTTAGAGGACGGTTTAGGGTATAGGGTTATAGAGCTCACGAACTAGGCCTCGTGCGAACAGTCAGGCCTGGCACCACTGCGGTTACGACTACTATGTAACGACCACCACAACCTCTCTTCTTCAACAGCCAGGCCCAAAAAAGTTCAAACTTTTTAGGATAGACCTAATATATAAAGCCAAAAAGTTTAAAGTTCTCCCGTTGGCTATCTAAGCAACCACAGTGTCCGATCAGGACGACGACCAGGACAAAGGCAACAGAAGCCGCAGCAGCATCCACGGCCGCAAGCACAAGCACGGCCGTCACAACTACAACATCGCAATAATAGAACCCGCACGATGACGATCCAATATTCAAAGGAGACTAGTTTACATTTGTCAAAGACACACCAGCACCGCAAACAGCACAAACACTCCAAAACCCTCGTCCATGCCATACCCTCCATGACTCAGTCACTTCGGGCACCCACTGGTCGAAGCGGTTCTCCGCGGTGAACTCTTCCGATGCCAGCACACGGCGAATCTGCGGGCACGCCGGGGCTTTCCAAGTTGACCCTAAACCCTAAACCCTAATATTTCTCTGACTCTGGAATAAGAGGTCGGACCGGCTCGATTGAACAAGATCCCTGCAAGAGGGCCGGGACTCCGGGACCCTCAAAGCCCAAACCTAGCCGCGTCTGAATCAAGGGTGTCAGCTCGCGTTTTGCTTGCGAACGCACCAAGGAGTCGCATGATGCATCCACACCGCACCCTAAAGGCCCTGCCTTAAGAACCCAAAACCCACTTTTTTGTAGGTTCTTATTATAAACCCTAATGTGGGATTTATAGGGACGGACCCTACAAAAAAGTAGGCTTTGGGCTCTTCAGGTAAACCCCAAACCCAGTCCCAACTTCCTGTGTGTCCGGTTTACCGGACCCAACAACTGCTCGGGGTCCCGGCATTTGGGTCCAGGATTGAGGATGAAGCCCTAAGCCCCTTTCCAAGCTCCCGCAAGGCCACGGCAAAGGAGACACATTCGAAACTCCAGCTTCCCAGAGAGCCCAATACCCCTTAATTAAGGAATATGGCTTAAATTATAAGGGGCTTCATATTATGATTTAGGCTATATTCCTTAATGTAAGGGGTATTGGGCTCTCTGGCTTGAACCCCGAAGCCCTGAACCCTAAACCCTAAACCCTAAACCCTAAACCCTAAACCCTAAAGGCCCTAAACCCTAAACCCTGAACCCCGAAGCCCTGAACCCTGCCTCTTGCACGTCTAAGAATCCCTTCGCCTTCGTCTCCAGCTCTGTGACCAGCGACGCCTCCTTGGTTGCAAGCTGGTTTACGTTTAGGGTTTAGGGTTTAGGGTTTAGGGTTTAGGGTTTAGGGTTTAGGGTTTAGGGTTTAGGGTTTGCTTGAATAGGGCCCCCCAAAACAGCACATAAGCAACATTTACGATAAGGATATCCCATATAAAGTCCCTTATAATGAAGCCCAATAAGGTAGTGATATCCCTATAAAATGCTTATGCTTATGTCTTTTTGGGTTCCTAATTGAAGCTTCACAGAGTCTTAAATTCAACAGCAGGGTTTTTAGTGTGGATAGTTTATCCGCAAGTTACGGTTCGCTGTATCCCTGCTTGCTATTAACTAACCGTTAATGCATCCGGCTGGCCCACTGAACGGCCAGCTACAGAACTCTAAAGCTGCGTTTTGGATTCCCAGCCCGAACCTACGTGCTAAACCCTTACCTAGACCCTCCATCTACCCTCTATTGGACACTACAGGCCCTTAATTTGGGACCCTTTACCCCTATTTGAGGGTACTTGGAGGGTCCTGGTAAATCTAGAGTCTGTAATGCCCTATTTCTCGGTAGCTTACAGCGAGTCCTCAGGAGGATTAGTGCTAGGGCCTAGGGTCCCTTATACCTTACCTTTAGGGTTTAGGGTTTAGGGTTTAGGGTTTAGGGTTCAGGGTTTAGGGTTATGAGGACATTAAGGTTCCAACTTTCTGGCTTCTACGGCAAAGGTTTTCACACGAGTTTTTGCACCCAGTAGTACTGGGAGGTTCATGGCTAGTCATAAGTATATGGTTATAAATCCCCTAGTGTGGGTTATAATTATAGTTACCGTACCTATAACCGCACTTATAACTACGTACTCATGAACCGCCAAGTATAGACGATTTGATCCCAAACCCAAAACCATCCGATCCGAAACCTTTTAAGCCGGTCCTGAGCGCTAAGCTCTGAATCTTCAGCCACAAACGAGCAGCTACCGTAATGCAGAGGCCTTAATGATTAGACTGGGGTTTTGGGTCATATTATACTATAAGTATGATAAGGAACCCCCAAAAAAATATAGGTAATGATTAAGGCCCCGTTAAAATTCCCACACCTAAACCTTACATCGCTCTCTCCGAGGCAGCTTGGATGTTGAACTTGCCTGACATTCAGACCCTGCGTTGAACCTCCCGTCCTTATACCCAGAGCCGTTCTGCAGACCTCGACCCAGTCATATCCGCGAGAAGCCCGAACATGTTTAGACATAGTGCGCGGGGGTAGGCTAAGGCTACAAAGTCGTATTCTGTTTGCAACACGACTAGTTTCGGCCCCGACATGTCATGTTGAGTCTCGTTACCATCAACCCCCGAAACCCTAAACCCTAAACCCTAAACCCTAAACCACTTATGTATAGCCGAGTAGCAGGATTCTCGTCGACAGCTTTCTGCAAGTTGTTATGCTCTTTCACGAGATCCTCGTGAACAGCGGTGCAGTGGGCAGGGATTAGGGTTTAGGAATTACGGATGTGGGGAAGCCTAAAACCCAAATATAGGAGTCCTTAATAATTAGAATAGGGCTTTGGGGCCCATTATACTATAAATATAATGAAGAACGCCCAAAATAATATAGGTAATTTGGGGCTCATTATACTATATATATATATAATAAAAAACCCCCAAGATAATATAGGTAATTTTCTATTCTAAGGCCCTTACATCAAACCCTTGGGCCTGGGCTGGTGTTGGTGGAGTTTCGGGGTTCCGGGGCTGAGGGTACAAGGTTTAGGGGTTTAGGGTTTAGGGGACCTAATTCCGGCTGGAAGATCCCTAGACCCGGTTTAGAGTTTATGGTTTAGTTATCGTAAGCCCCGAGTGGAGGGATCTTGTCAATATGAACTTGGCACTTCGCGCTGCTCCTTCAAATTTCTTCGTTACCAAGCTCAAACAGCTGCTAGGATCCGTGAACACGGAAAGTATAAGCTGTGCGTGCAACTCAAGATGATAGTCAGTGTGAGAAGTGCTTAGCCGTTTGCTGGGCCTGGAACGCATCCTCCCACCTTACCAAGACTTTGCCCTATCGAGGCCCTGTAAAACAACTCAGCACATTCGTCACTCGAAGCTCCATTTAGACATTTAGACTGAGGAAATAACAGTTTCCATAGCATGATGACCCCCTCCCCCCCAATAATAAGGCGCCCCTATGGTTGAAGACGCTTCCATCCAAGGAGCCCGCCACAGCAAGCCAAAAACTCCAGCATTAAGGCTCCCAAGCAAGGACCCGAAACACAAACCATTGAGCCCTAACCTCTAAAAACCTGAAACCCGCTCCAAATCCGCCTGCCCTGGATGCAGACCCCAAACTCCCTAAGCCCGAAATACACTGAACCATAAACCCTTTGTTTCCTGGAACTCCAGCAGCTGCTGTTGATCTTTGAGCGCCTCTGGCTTCTTCGCAAACTCCTTCAGCTCCTCTGGCAAATGTCTTACGCGTTGTTGTGTTTTTGTTTGGTGTTTGCTGTTGTTGTTGCTGCTGCTGTCGCTGCTGTTGCTGTTGCTGGTGGTGGTGGTGCTGCTGCTGTTGCCGCCGTTATTGGAATGTTGTTGTTTTGTTGTTGTTGTTGTTGCTGTTGTTGGTGGTACACGCAAAAACAGCAGCCCGTAACTTATGT